AAACGGAGTTCCAACCCAAGCTGCTTACCTCTCACACCATTTCCAACGCTAAAACAGATGAAGTATTCACTAATCTTCTCATACAACATGGAAGAAAAGCACTCATCGGGAATGGCAGGACAAATACAAGGAGGGAAGACCTTGAGTATTACGGAAAAGTCAGCGGTACTCCAGTTAAGTACTGCTATGAAATATTTCCCGGCATGAGCGATGATGAGGAGAATCCTAATTCTATTCTTGTCGTTGGGAAAGCAGGGATTGGGAAATCTCTGTTTTGCCAAAAGATTGTTCGCGATTGGGCGAAGAATGAATTATTTAAGGAACGAGAAAACACTAAAGTTCTCAGTTTGAATTGTGTGTATTTGCTTTCTTTCCGTCAATTGAATTTGTTTCAAAATAACTATGTGACTTTAAGAGAAATCTTAACCTTTTCGTCGCTACTGGATGACAACTCTAACACTGATGACTTTACGTTTGAGTACATTGTAAAGCATCCCAAGGAGGTTATGATCATCTTGGACGGCTATGATGAGTATTCACAGCAAGACTACATCGCTGGAAACTTAGAAGAGCATCCCAACGACGCTAGACGTAAAATGCCGGTGGCCGCATTATGTTCAAAACTCATCGAAGGGAAAATCCTAAAAGGGGCTTACGTCTCGATTACCTCGCGGCCTGATAAATCGGACAAGTTGGGAGGAATCCGTTTTAAACGGTACGTGGAAATTGCGGGATTTTCGCCAGAACAGGTCAAAGAGTACATTGAAAAGTACCTCAATAAAAACGAAGAGATAAAGAACGCTGTGCTTGAACACGTCATGAACAATGCCAACCTTGTCAGTTTTGCTCATATTCCTATGCCCTGTTATCTGTTGTGCTTTGAGATGGAGTATACCCTAAGCGAATCAGGAAATCCTCATGACCTTCCTGTCTCAACAACCGACCTTTACACTACTGTATATTTTTGTCATATTCTGCACAGGTTATCCACCAGTTCATCATAGTTTCATTTTGATCTATCTTTTGACGATTTGTATATCTGTATGCACAAGTTGGAGTCATAAATAAAACTCTTCTTGATTCAAATTATGATTTTTCTGTCTTTTTGTGATGACCAGAGAGGAAGCTAATGGCGAGCTGTGCATTAATTCTGCTCCACGCACGCCATTCATCAGGTGTTAGGTCTGATTACTCAGCTGTTTTAAAAATCGGCGGCGCCTAAAACCGTGTTTCTTGGCCCATAAAAGGCGAGCGGCAATGTAAAAACGCAGATTACTGGAAATTTTAAAATGCAAGTTTTGGTAACAGAGATTTAAAATAAAAAATCTCATAACATGTGTTTGGAGATAACAGAGCTCAATAATGTATACGCATGCGCTGGATTTTGCCGCGGAGATTGCTTTCTCATTTTTCCACGATACTGGTCAGCAGCAGTTGGTATTGTCTGCTCATGCGCTTACTGGTTCACGTGCGCCTGGTGAAAGCTGCTTAGAAGAATTCCCTGAAACATACCGACAGTAATGCTTTAGCTCCAGAAATGGGTTTAACGACACTGTTGATCCAGCGATCTGGACTTCACCTTCTTGTTCGTAATGTAAGATTTTTAACCTTGGTGTTCGAACCATTATATTAGTTTTAATGAATTTTAACGAAAAGAGAATTCTCAATCGCGACAATTGTGAGGGTGAAACGTGAGAGTGAATGGAATGCAGTCGGAAGCTTCCTTTTGCGGCGTTCGTAGTGCAAAATTTCGATCAATAAGTTGGGCGCGGTAGTAACCTGCTTGAACGAAAGAATCAGGGTAACCACATGTATCGAAAAACTGGCACATTGACTCTGATTTGTGGTGGAAATCAGTCATCACTACATAAACGACGAAGAAAAAAATAGTTTGGTTTCCTTCCATGTAAATAGGAGAACGGAAAAGTTGAAACTCTTATGTTGACTATGTTTCTTTTTCACGGAAAAAATCGGAGGAGAAATATCGACGCGGACGGGGGTTATTACGTGATAACTGCCCTGTGATTTTGCACCACGTGACGTAAAGTAACCAATAAAATCGCGCCAAAATTAATGGGTGAGTTATAACAAATGATATCTTCATGTTTAGTTCTGAAAAGTAGCCTTGTTCCGGTAGTTACGAAAACGAAGACCCTGAAAACAAAGACCGCCTACGAAAACGGAGACCCCTGCGAAAACGAATACCCATCACGAAAACGAAGTAGGAGTAACGTAAGGCTTTGATTAAGGTATTGATTTGTAATTTTTTACCCGCAAGAAAAGTGTTATTGAAATTAATCGGTCGAATTGCCATGTTTTATTCAAACAACAGTATCTATTTCCTCGCCGGAAGTGTAATTACCGCTAGTCGATGTCATTTTCATTAATAAACTTAAATCTTGTTGCTTCATTATATACCAACAAATGCATGTCATGTCTCTTCGATTAAATCTCGTTTTAGCTTTAAAGAAGTCCTATTGAAGGCCTAATGAGCTCTACTGTTGAAATATTCCGCAATAAATTACAGACGTGCCAAACTCAGAATTCAAGATTTCCGTGGGGATCTTCGTTTTCGTAGTGTGTATCATGAACATAATCTTTGTCCACGAAGGTAATACCAACCTCTTTTGAACTAAGGTTGTAGTAATGTGTCTTCGCTTTCGTGATGGGTCTTTCATTTTCGTAGGGGGTCTTCGTTTTCGTAATGGGTCTTTGTTTTCGTAGGGGGTTTTCGATTTCGTAATGCGTCTTCGTTTTCGTAGGGGGGTCTTCGTTTTCGTAATGGATCTTTGTTTTCGTAGGTGGTCTTAGGTCTTCGTTTGCGGAGTCTTCGTTTTCGAAACTACCCTCGTGAATGTAATCTTCGTCCACAAAGGTAATACCAACCCCTTTTGAACTTGTTTTAATAATGT